TAATTCCCTTAGTCTATGAACATTTATGTTATTTCTCAGATATTACAAAAAGCCACTCTATTTTTAGAATCATCTTATTCAATGTGGTGCACTTCCAAAATACTTAGCATACATTTTATAACATTTCTCATAGGTCTATGCATGAAATACTAGACCAATTAATTTGCTCTAATGTTATGTATCTTATTAAATAGCGAGATATATTTAAATGGGAACAAGGCAATCGTCTAAAAGACATGTATCATATGCAGGTTGAACAAATGTCCATTACCGAAGAGTCAAGGGAAACACATTATTTTAATCATTTAACTTTTACAGTTAAATATTATTTCTTATTTCTGCAATGAACATGCATTTACATATACAAAAGGAAATAAATATATATATATATATATATATATATATATATATATATATATATATATATATATATATATACATATATATATATATATAGTTATATATATATATATATATATATGCCTATATATTATTTAATGTTGCAATTGAAGCTGTTCTCTTCTCCCTCTGATCAAAGGAATGCTAGACTGGTATCTATTTGCCTGCCTTTTATTTTTAAATATGGTAATCATTAAATTAATTGTTAATCGCTGCATTAGAAGTGAGTCAAAACTGAAATACATTATTTGCTACAAGTCCACAAAAAGCAAACAAACACTTTGAAAAGTCTGTACACGTTTGAAAAAATCTTAGCTAATCCCTTCTTTTGTTAACTGTAAAGCTGTCTTTTATTACCATAAATATATAGAGGCAATTGTTTACATAAAACGATTAATACTGTAACTATTGATTTATTAAAAATAAAGAAACATATTTTTTAAAATATTTATATTTTATTATTTTAAAAAATTAATACAAACTATAAAGTTATTAACGCTTAATAATACATTAGATGTCTTGCGGACAAAAACTGTTACCTATATATATATATATATATATATATATATATATATATATATATATATATATATATATATATATATATATATATACATGAAAATATGTTTTTGGATTTGTATATTTGTGAATTTGTTTTTCCTTTATGCATCACTACACCTTTCCTCCGATCGCCGTGAAACTTGGGGAGTTGATGAGAAGGAGGGTATCTGCGGGGGAAAATTCAATTTCTGCCCACAAGGGCTTTCAAGCGCCTCCGATGGCCCCATAATAAATTAAGGGATAGTATTGAACTTGGAATATTTATAGCAATCAATCATGGTTAGCTTGTTTTACAAAAAATATTAACTTAGTTATTTTCGTTAGTCCATGCACAATTCAATAAAAAAAACAAAGCCTACAGGTTTACCAGGAATGTTTCTGACAAAAAAAATTTGGAGGGCAACGCAAATCTAAAAATAAACCGGGAGTGATCTCCTCTAAACTTTTTCGAATATTCTTATATAACGTGGAATATAGACATGATTTTTAATTACTTAAACTTTTGAAAAATAGATTAGAATCTCATAGAAAAAAAGAATTGCGCACCAAGCACCAAGGTGTAAAACGTCGAGATTTATAAAAATCTCGATTATTTTTTTTTTTTGCACGATTACAAGACTTTCTCTATACTTGGTATATACGAGAAAGTAAAAAGTCTGAAAGTCTGCACGATTAAAGTTTAGCGCCCCAAATTAAGAAACGGGTATTGTATATAGATGTATGGTCTAGCTATTGCCTGCAAGATTTACAAATTTACAAATGCGCGGGGACGTGTAAACTAGTCATTTATAAAATGCGGTTACCTGACAATACTTTTCCAACAAATCTGTTTACATATTGCTTAGTATCGAATATAAATCTATTCAAATTAGCATGTCACTGTTATTAAAATGTACATTAATGTGACAAGTAATTTCACGTTTTGGCGCATTAATAAACGCATCTGTTACGGGTCAGTTGTAGGTTAGATAGAAATACGTTAGAATAATCTAGAATTAAGGGAGAGTGCGTGTGTGAGTTGAGTGTAACCTAGAGTATTGTTAACCCCGGGGGGCAATCGATATTTCCCGGGGGGGGGGGTAGGCGGTCAACATTTTCCGGGGGGGGGTGGCGGACACTAGTAAAAGTATATGTTTACTGTATAAATTCAATCTCATTCGGGGGGGGGGGGGGCGTTAGACTTTCTTCGGGGGGGGGGGGGCCTCTGTTCCCCCCGTAGTGATGCCTGGAAGAAACTCAAGGTCGAATGCAGTATAAAAGCAGGAGTGAATGGTTGTAAGGAGTTGGTAGCGGTTAGGGTAAGGGCGACCCTGTAACGTTGAACGTGAAACTAAATAAAAATATACTATATGTTTCACGAATCGTTGTTGAGTTGAATCAAACCCGGACTTAACGGCATCGTTCAATAAAAGTTATGAAAAGCGGATGATTAATATGTTATTTTTAGTGATATATTATTTCTTTTGACAAACACCATGAAACGTATCTAAATTTTAATTACAACATTCTTTTCTTCTTCTTCGTTCTTAATTGAGAATATGGTGGAGGATTCAGACAACAAGTCCAACTCCGTGAACAAACCGGACTGTGGTCTCCAGTTTGGCAGGTGCCCCATATAATTTTTCCCTGAGTGGGGTTGGCAGGGGCCAGTGTCTGACTCGTGCCTGGCTATACAAAGAACATTCCTGAAGGAACAGCATTCTAAAATATGCATATCTTATAAACCACACATTTTTTTTTTAAGAAACTAAATCTAATAGTTCACAAAATCCCGACTTACGTTGAACGTATAACACTTACAAGTATTCCAAACCCTCGATATTCTGATTCGGAAAAAAAACTACACTTACAACTTATTAAACCAGGGGTTCCCAACCTTTTTTTACTCTAGAGCACATTCTAAAATATCTGTAGGGTGGCGGGCACCACCTATTTTAAATCGACAAACTCCTTCCATAACTTGTCATTTTCCCATAATTTATTTTCTTAAAGTCATAATGTATTAATAAATAATAAACAAAAATGTTTCAAAATAATAAAAAATTTTGACATTTTTTTCAAATTGCATACACACAGAGAAATGTATTTACAAAACGTAAAGAAAGTAAACAAAACACATAAATACAAAGACAACATTTATTTTAAAAAATATAATAAAGTCAATGTGATCTTTGGCATGCATTTCATGGGCTAGAGCTTCATAATTAGGAGCGTATGACGATAATCCTGTTAGCAGACAATCATAAAGATGCTCATCGTTGAGTAGAGATCTATATCTTGATTTTATTAAGTTCATGTTTGAAAATAATGATTCGCATAAATATGTCGAACCGAAAAATGATTCAAGTTGGGACAAGTATCGAACATATTTAATAAACCTAGGCAGTCAAAAAAATTATAACTGTAACAAATGAATAAAAACAAATCAAATTTTAAAATAATATTTATGAAAAAAATTATGTCTCTGTCGAATAGTGAGAGGCGGGCACATACGAATCGTTCTGCGGGCGCCATGGCGCCCTCGGGCATAGGGTTGGGAACCCCTGTATTAAACCATAATCTTTTTCTTAAATGTTTTACTAACATTAACAAACACTTGACTTACGGAAAATATACCAATCAGAACATAAACATAAAAACTCAAAATACTTATAAAAAATGAAACTATAAAAAAAAGCAATAATGCAATTATGAATATTTGGCAATAACGAATAAGTTAAAAATGTATCGTGCTAACACTTTAAACATCTGTCTTAATTTTTGTACGGACTAAAGTATCTCGTACGGCCATATTTGTATATTCTTGAAAACAAGAAAAAGAAAATGTGAGCAAGCACATCACTTAAAATATTTTTTTAACCTATATACTGTTACAAAATCTCCTCGACGACGTTCTCTAAAGCTTGATGTCGAAAATGGTTGACCAAATTCCTAGTTTATGGTAACAAGTTAATAAAAAGTCTAGTGACAATTTAAGCGCAATTTCCTTATTGTCCATAAGAATTTTAAATCGAGATAAATCATATATTCAGGAAATAAATAATGCAACACACTAGTTTTAATAATTCAAAACAAAATATGGAAATTGCGCTAAAAAAAAGACAACTATATTAACCTATATCAACGGAAATAGTTTTATTTTAACGTGTAGGCCTACACGATGCTCAGTTTTAAAAAGTAGTAAATATCATCCTAGGCCTACACGATGCTCAGTTTGAATGTTCTTAATTAATTTTTTGTGACCGAACGAAAGGATATTTTTGAAAACTTTCTTCAGCAATATTGTTCTAAATTATGGCAGGAATCGATTAGTAAATGTTTCAAGTCGCTGAGTGGTCTGGTTGCCGAGATATGGAGCAAAAACTGCATTTGTTCGAGGTTTTTTGGCTTTTCCGGGAAATCCAGGAAGAAATTCCGGTAATTTTTTTGGCCCACAATCATCCTTGGAACTTGCTTAACATATTTGCTTTGTAACTAGTTCTCGATATTGCTTCGTTGAGGAGGAGATACGACTTAAATCTGGGGACACACATCCATCCAAAAATGACAAATCCCAATTGTCCGTATGGAAATTGCGCTAAAAAGTTGCTCTTTCGAAACTTACCAAGTACGGCTTCATCTGGCTTATTACTCAGTAAGACAGACTCTTAAAATGTTATTTTGTCATTCGACTTTTTACTATTATGAGGCAAAAACAACTAACGATTTTTACTAACAGTTAAAGTAATATTTTTAATTAATGTTTAACTAATAATAATTTTTAAATTTCATAAATTTAGTAAAATGCTTACATTAATAGCTATGTGTTTAGCAGTTATGCGCTCCCCCCCCCCCTCCCTATAGAATCACACATCGATCTAGGAGTATTGGTTAGTATTGGGATTATCTTAAACCATTTAAGCATTATATTTTCAAAATCTAAGCAAAGATAGACTGAATGCCCGGTAAGGCAATTTCTAGAATTTAAAAGTTTGTATGATTTAAAGTAATCATAAAATTCACTAACATGTCAGCACCAATATTCATAAATTTACTTTAAGGATTTTGATGATAAATAATGATTTTTCAAAATGTATTAATATTCCTTTACAGTAAATGATGTAAAAGTAGCATAGTAAATACACATATGCTTTAAATCTTTAAATATACAAATAGTGTAGTTCATAAATTATTGAATACTGCATTTACTTTCTTCCGCCTTTTCCTTTTCTCTTCTCGCCCTTTCTTCTTGCTCTTCTTTTCTCATTCTTGCTGTCTCGGCCTGAATCTCTTTATATTTCAAATCTGCTTCACGTTTTACTCTCTCTTCCCTTTCCATAAACTTATTTTCTAGGGCCTGACGATCTTTTAAAGCCTTTTGTTGTTTCGTTTCCTCTATCTGTAGACGTAGGTCATACTCCCTTTGTATTTGTGCAAGTCCATCCCTGTATCTCTGATCAGCAGCCTCTCTTTCTTTTCTGTCGGCTTCTCGTCTTTTCTCCTCCATCTCCATCATCATTTTCTTCTCCTCCAGTCGTTTTTCATCTCTTTCTTCTCTTAGTTTTTTTTCATATTCTTTCACTTTTTTTTCATTCTTTTTCATTTTTTTTCGTTGAATTTCTTTTTCCAATTTTTCATTCTCTGCTATACGGCGTATTTCTGCCATGTGCATTTCGTTCTGTTGTCTAATCGTTTCTTTCATTTCTTCAATTTCCTGTTTTTGCTTTATTTCTGCTGCTTCAGTTTCTAACTTCTTTAATTTCAATTCCTCCAGATGAGCCTCGACCTCTTTTAATTTTTGTTCTTGGATTTCTTTTGCTTTTTCTTCCAGCATTTTTTCAAACTTTTCCTTTTCCTCTGTGCATTTTTTTTGTAATTCTTCAATTTCTTTTTTATGTAATTCCATCATTAGTAAACGCTCCTCGTATTCTCTTTTGGCTTTTTCTTCTTGCATTTCTAATTGCTCTTCGTCTTTTAGCATCTGCTGTCCTGTATTAATAATTTGCATGTTTTTATTTCTTCTTCGATTGTCCTGTTTATATCTCGAACGTTTTCTAGTAAACTGTTCAAAGCTCCACTACTTTTATCTTCATCAGATATTTCAGTTAATAGAGTGTTAGATTTCTGCTGCATTTCTTCTAATTCTTTGATTTTTATTTCTGGGTCCTCAAAGTTCATTTGATTGTAACTTGACATAATAATGCCCGTTTCTTTAAGTATTTTGTCTTTTAATGCTGGAATTTTACATTCTATCAGCAGTTTATCTCTGGCCTCCTTTGCTTTATCGAAATATCTGTTTGTGTATTTTTTACCACTTGACTGCAGCATGTCTATCACGTTGATCAGATCGTTTTTTTGTTTATGGATTTTCTCTTTTTCCTCGGCAAAGTTATCAAACAACACGATTCTCCCTTCACAATCGTCTAACAACAGCTTAAACACCCCCTGTTGTTTATCGCACCATTGTTTAAATGTCTCTCCAGTTTCATTAGTAACTTGCTTTTCAAAGTTGTCACCACATGTTAATACAAGAACACAAAATTTATTAACGAAGTCGTTACCAAAAATTTTTTTAAGTACCTGCAAAGCAGTGACATCTTCTTCTGTAAATCTTTCTCCAAATTTTATAACGTAAATAAACACATGATATCCATCTGGGTTGATGTTAATGGCATCTTCCATCTTTTCCGTTACCATTTTTAACCCATCTTCTTCACTCATCCTTGTATCGAACACACCTGGTGTATCTACAACTTTTAATGTACGACCTTCAAACACACCATAAGCCTCCTTAATTACGTCTGTCACAGAAGTAACGTCAGCAGATGAAACAAATGCTTTACTAGATAGAAGACTATTTCCCAATGCGCTTTTTCCTCTACCAGTTTTTCCAATTAGCAGGATGTCGATGTTCTTTGAAAACTAAAAAAAAAAAACAGAAACACCTGATACAATAATTAAAAAAAAAAAAACAATACTTTTTCTACCAGAAGGATACTAAAAATAATTAGAGACATAGACATACAGACAAACAGGGGGACAGACCATCAGACGGACAGTCATCTGGACTGACAGTTAGAGGAAGGCGATATTAACAATTCTAAATCATCAACGAACCTCTATAGTGATAGTCTTTTTCTGCGTCTCATTTTTAACTCTGCTGTCAAGACTCTGATCCATGCTCTGTTTGAAATCAACAACTGTATCTGCCATGTTATCTTTACCTTTTACCTAAGAGATCTACATATAAAAACATGAAAGTAAAAAAAAACAAGACAAATATCAATTTAAAACTACATCATTTTAACAAATTAATTGCGAATAACAAATATTACTAAATTAGATGTTTAAAATGATGCATTTTGTTCACAATAATATGCAACTTGTAATATATCATACAATATAAAATGAAAACTGAATTTGACGAAAGAATAGCACCTTATAAACATTAACAAGAATAGCTATATTGTATCCACAACCTACGAATGCAATCGAATCAATCCAGCAATAATTTAAAAACAAGGAACGATTCTATTTATACTACATACAGTGAAAAAAACTGAGCCGATTGGATAAAGCGAGACTTAAAAATCAATATCGTAATGTGCCTGTTAGTGTTAGCTATACTCATATACGACTAGGTATACAGCCTAGCTTCGCTTAAGGTTTCGAAAAAAATGTTACCCTATACATATCCCCTATGCTAATAGTAACCAATTCTAAATTTAACACTATTTCCAATTAAATACGAATTTTAAAATAATACTGTTTTCATTCAAAAGCTTATTTAGATTCCCTAACCGATTAAATACTTGTTGGTGCGAAAGCGTGGTAGGGTGGAGGGGGTTAGAGCCCGAATGGTGTCCTAGCCCAAAAGTATCAAGCTATGATACCGTACAAAATTCTTTAGGACGCACCTTATCCCATTTAGCAACGTCGGGTACATATTACGTTAGGGAAATCAAAGGCGGCTGAGCATGGATCATATCACAGTTATTACGCTATCTAATATATAAAGCTCAATTCTGTATGTAATAAGTTTGTCGTTGACATACTACGATGGATTTAAGTGTTAGATAATTAAAGTCCTTATGGTCTAAATTTATGAGTTAAAAAATTAATATTGAAAGTTTTGGGAAATAATTTTCATTTATCAAACTGAAAGTAATAATTTTCGGCATGTTCATTAAACACAAGTTTTTAAAAAAATGTCGTCTTTTACAAAAATTCTAATTATGTCTTTATTTAGTCCTATAGCACTTACTTCCCTTTGATAAATTAGGAAAACACAATTACTTCCCTTTATAAAACCATTACATTAGTGGAAGAGAATTTACTTTTTATTACTTTGTTTTGGTGTTGGGAAAAAAATAATTACATAATTAGCGGGGATTGATCAAGTGCAAATGTTGTAGGTATTTTACGGATAAGCTTGGAGTATTATAATTGGTCAATAAATTGAAACAGGCGCGTTTGTTTAAGTGAGTGCAAAAGACTATGAATAAGTTGGGGTACTATAGTCGTTTATTAAGCTAAAACAGGCGATTCCGCCCCGGGCTAGACTGTGAGCATTTTGCGTTTACGTTCGCGTTAGTGTTTTCTTTGTGTTTAGGTTGGGTTTGCGTTAGTGGTTGCGGTTTGATTTGGTTCGTTTTTGTTCTTTCTTTTTTCGTTTTTGTTTGTGTTTTTTTCTTTGGGTTTGTATTTGTGTTTTTGGTTGGTTTTGCGTTTGGATTTGGTTTGTTTTCGTTTGCTTTTTCGTTTTTTTTGTGTTGTTATAGGTTGATATTGGTGTTTGTGGTTGTGGTTGGGTTTGTTGTTAGGTTTTTGTTTTCGTTTGCTTTTTTGTTTGTTTTTTCTTTGTGTTTGTATTGGTGTTTGTGGTTGTGGTTGGGTTTGTTGTTAGGTTTTTGTTTTCGTTTGTATTTGTAATTGTGTTAGCGTTATGTTTGCGTTTTGTTGTTTTGGTTTTGGTTGGTTGTGGTTTGGGTGGGCAATGCCGGGTTTATGATGATTACTAAACACACAGGTGATGGTCTTTAACAGAAAGGTTTTTCACAGAAGCAAGAGCAGGGCCTGGCCGGGACGGCTAGTATCTTATATGCCGAAGACGCATAAATAGATACATTATATTCGCTTGCACTGCGAACAGTCATTTAAAAGTAAATAGTTTTTCTGCTGGGCAAGACAGATTATTTTGTTACTCAATATTTTTAATTGGTCGGAAAAAAAATACTAAAACCACCGATCTTAAACGATGTGTTTAATCTCTCATGGAAACTCATCACAGAGCGGAATGGGGAGGGGGGGGGGAGGGGGTCGTTAATTTTTTTTCGATAAATAACTCAACAAAGAGAATTTACTTATGCTCACATGTTGGCCCTTACCAAAGTCATTGGGTCAGACCGATAGCTTTCCAATATGGCCGATTTAAATTTTCAAGGTCCATTCAAATGCTTAGCCATATGTACAAAACATTAATAACCTCTTTTTGGAAATTCAGCTCTGTTTTTTTACACAATTTAGAATGATTATTTTTAAAAAAAATAAGACTGGTCAACGTTGAGCGATTTTACAATTTTTTCCAGATATAACATTTTTATCCTGGCATCCATCAACTACCTCTGTTATACTTTGTTTGTTTTGAAACACGATCTTTTAATTGGAAAAATGAAAAAAATAGTAAAGACTCGCATACCCGTCGCTGCGCGAAGTCGCGGGGAAAGAAGAAAGTCTGACGGTTTCACTACCACAGGGGCACTGCGTACGACCTTTGGATGCTTAAAAACTAACGTAGGCGCCAGGGTGATCACAGGATACCCCAGAAAAAATACGCAGAAAAAATACAAATACAAATACAAATACAAATACAAATACAAATACAAATACAAATACAAATACAAATACAAATACAAATACAAATACAAATACAAATACAAATACAAATACAAATACAAATACAAATACAAATACAAATACAAATACAAATACAAATACAAATACAAATACAAATACAAATACAAATACAAATACAAATACAAATACAAATACAAATACAAATACAAATACAAATACAAATACAAATACAAATACAAATACAAATACAAATACAAATACAAATACAAATACAAATACAAATACAAATACAAATACAAATACAAATACAAATACAAATACAAATACAAATACAAATACAAATACAAATACAAATACAAATACAAATACAAATACAAATACAAATACAAATACAAATACAAATACAAATACAAATACAAATACAAATACAAATACAAATACAAATACAAATACGAATACAAATACAAATACAAATACAAATACAAATACAAATACAAATACAAATACAAATACAAATACAAATACAAATACAAATACAAATACAAATACAAATACAAATACAAATACAAATACAAATACAAATACAAATACAAATACAAATACAAATACAAATACAAATACAAATACAAATACAAATACAAATACAAATACAAATACAAATACAAATACAAATACAAATACAAATACAAATACAAATACAAATACAAATACAAATACAAATACAAATACAAATACAAATACAAATACAAATACAAATACAAATACAAATACAAATACAAATACAAATACAAATACAAATACAAATACAAATACAAATACAAATACAAATACAAATACAAATACAAATACAAATACAAATACAAATACAAATACAAATACAAATACAAATACAAATACAAATACAAATACAAATACAAATACAAATACAAATACAAATACAAATACAAATACAAATACAAATACAAATACAAATACAAATACAAATACAGATAGACCGTCAACCAGTTAAAACGTGCCCTTTAGAGTACTATTTTTTATCTTGATATTTCTTTACCAGCAGGAAGGGAAACTGTAAATCCTTTGTTTGTCAGCTGATCTAGAAATTGTTCAAAAGGAATCTTGTGCAGATGCACACATTTTTAGATGAATTTTGTTTATTGTTAACTATATGGGGGAGGGGAAGCTGAATAAATGTATAAATTGTTACGCTGCTTAGTGTGCGAGGTTTGAGTCACTTGATTTGATTCGATACCATTTTAATTCATCTCCACTACCATCTAGAGAGGTTACAACCTCAAGAACCCATAAGGCTATTTCACGTTCAGACGAATAGATGACACTCACAAATAAGACGAACTCAATACTCTTTGTCCTATACTTTATTATTGTATCTACATATATATCTGTAGAATCTATCTCCCAACTTGAGTCATACCGACCAGCACACGTTCTTTCACACCGACGATCAAGATCAGACTAACTCACACACAAACTCACAGCAACCAACTCTCTACCCTAAACGTCACTATCTTTCAATCGTGTCATCATTCCAATGTGTTCAACATACTCTTCGCACCAACCTGCATTCGTGCTAATATATATCTTATATATACATCATAACATAAAGAAATAAACACAAATGCAAGAACTTTGCTAAGTGTCTCGAAGATCAGCTCTTTTGAAAAATAAAACTCTGCAAATATTAATTTGCAATTACCAGTAAAGAAGTGTGTGAGCAATACAGTGATCTAACCCATGCCTTATCATTTTGTTATAGCAATAATATTTAGAGAATACAAAAAGCAATAGCTAATTCAAAAATTTAAAGATTTCAAATGAAAATTAATAGTTTAGATAAATTATTGTTTTCTTCAACTATTGTTCAAAATGTTTAACCTCTTTGATATAATTTTCCATTTGAATCAAAAGCACGTTGTTATACCAACCCCGCTTTCACAAATGTTCTTTATGCTGTTATGTTCTTTCATTTATAATGAAATATATTCAATTCTGATTATAAACAATTATTTAAAAAAAAAACAATAGTAATAATAAGCTACTATCCTAATATATAAAAGACCATGTGCGCACTTGTCTCTCTCTCTCTCTCTCTCACTCTCTCTCTATCCACAAAATATTTTCGCCGGATATCACATCAGAATCTGCAGCGATATATGGAGAGCTTGATACGGACTTTGGTTGAAAATAATATGGTAGATGTTTTAAATGTATAACTAACATTTTATTTAAAGAAGAAAAATAAAAAATAAAGGCATATTCGAATGTAGAAAAACAGTTTTAATTATGCAACAGGAAAAGCGTTTATAGTTGTGAAAAAGAACCCATGAAACAATGACGTAACTAATGTTTCTACATTAAATAATGACGTCATCTGTCGAGGTTAGAATTTAAAAAATGAACTATTTCATTCAAATTTGATTTAGATCTAGATCTACGTAAGCTATGAAATGTATACAATACAATTTTTCCGGCCTTAACTTATAAAATTTATTTTATCTATTTGGATTCTAGATCTAGAGCTTCTAGATATAGACTAGATCTAAATCTACGCAAAAACTAGACGTAGACGCTAAGTCGCTAAGATCTAGATTTTGACTCGGATGTTTCTAGATACATGTG